TGGTCTCAAACTCCTGACGTCAAGTGATTTGCCTGCCTCACCCTCCCAAAATGCTGGGATTGCAAGCATGAGCCACTGCACCTGACCCCATTGTGATTTTTTTTTCCTTGCCTTCATGGCAAATGTTGCTCTGAACAAACCTATCTTAATTCCAAATTTACATACTAAAACAAAGCCATACAGAAAAGAGAGTAAATTCCTTGGGATATTGAAGGCAGTCAATAAATCTGAGAGGGAGAAAAGGAAGATGTGCATGGTGCTTTTTCCCCTATAAGTTCTATAAGAGCACTTAATTTTACTTACTAATTTGTTAAAAAGCATCTCTGAGAGGTATCTTGTCTTTTTAGGGGTGGAGAATATAATGTTTAGTATATTTATTCTCAGATTTTAAAATAATAATTTGATTATCTGTGAAATTAGTTCAGATGGGATTTTACCTGCTGTTTTAAGTTTCCTTTGTTGCCACGTGTCCCTTGGAAAGGTTGTAAAATTCAGTATCCTTGACTTGCAGCAATAAATACAACAAATTTAAAAGAGAAAAAGGACTGCTGATTTTAGGTTGACCTACCATGTTACTTAAAAAGGTGACTCCCTAGTCCTTCCTAACCCTATCACCACTCCTAGGCAAACCACTGTAAATAGTAATACTTGCCTATTCTGGATGTTTTTTATCAGTGGGATCATGAAATACATGTTTTTGTTTTTGTTTTTCTGACTGGCTTCTGTTGTTTACCATAATGTTTTCATAGTTTGTCTGTGTTATACCTTGTAAAGTTTTGAAATAGTTTTGCCAGTCAGAGATCTGAACTTGGCCCCCAGGGCCAGTTCAGATGAACTAATCCAACCTATGTTCATCCTCTCATTATAGTTTATTTCTCTTGTAGACCGTTAACACAGTAGGCAGGCAGGCAGATGATCATCGGAGCAGGCATTAGACTAGAAAACAATTTCACCAAGGAGCAACAGAATCTGAATAACCAAAATATTTTCAAAAGACTGTTTCATGGAAAACAAACCTGACAGTGAAGGGTTTCATTGAACTATTTAAGTGTAAATCAGCATAAACTTACATCCCAACCAAGGGCAGGTGACACCTCAGAAGGGATTTTATATCTGCCCTCTCATTAAGGATCCCAGGACAAAGCAACAAGGACTTTAGCTGAATCTCCATTGGTCTTCATTTCTGCCAGGGCCCTATAGCCAAAGACCACCTATGATTGAACAAGTTGAGTCTGTTGCTCATTTGCAACAAGGGAGATTATACACCATGGGGTTTTTAGGGCTGGTTATCAGTAAGAAGGTGTTAAAAAGATCTTAGCAGAGGATTTGGTCTTGTGTTAGGTGACTTCAGGGATGCTTATTCTCCATTAGGGAGGATTCAAGGAAGTGAGGTTTGCTCAGGACAGGTGATTTCAGAAAGGAGAGATAATTCTATGGTTGAACATCTTAACGAATATTATCTAGGGATGCAGACTAAAGTGAATCTATAGCAGTAGTGATTCAATAGCTGGAGAGAGATGGCGATGACTGGTATTTTTGTGATTGCACAAATAAAAGTATTTTTTAGTCTCCTTTAATAAGGGTCACAGAGTGACTTGATCTTACATTGTTCTGTGAGACCGTTTATGTCCCTCAGGAGAATACTGTGGCCGTAAGGACCAGGCCCCACTCCTAAATGAGTGCCAGACCTGTTTCTAAATATTGGAAGATGCTTTTCTTTTTCAAGCATGAAGTGAGATCTTATATTGAAAACCTTTAGAACAATGTCTGGCACATGGTAAATACTTAATAGGAGATGACCACTGTAATTACTTTTGAATTTCAGAAGGATTTTTGTAACTATCTTGAATACCTAAACAGTGGCAGCAGCAACTTGAATTTGATGCAACAGAAGTTATCATATAGCACTTCTAATTGGGGAGAGAGTCCACTCTGTCTTGATAAGCTAGCCCTTAACCATATAAAGCTGATTGTCCCTGTGAATCACTTTTACTGTTTCACAAGGTAAAAAGCATCTGATCAAAATTGTTAGCCTCTCACTACCACTGAGAATTCCTATAGTATACAAAGGAAACTTCATTTTAATAATTGAAGAAACATCACTGTCACCTCAGGAAAGTAATACTGCATGTGGGTGTGGGTGTATGTGTGTGTGTGTATCTCCTGCTGTTAAATCAGTTTAAAATTCCAATTCATATGATTACTTGTGTTATCATTTGCAAAAACCATCATCTCAAAAAAAAGATTCTTACAAAATTTATTTTTTGCTGATAGTTGCATAAGTGATAATATGTGCTTTTCTCTACAGCATACATAGAATTCTGAAAGTCTATTTTAACTCATTTTAGCTTGGAGTGGCCTTCATTTTAGCTGTTGGTACATTCAGTAGCCATGGGTGAGGGAAAGTTTGCTTTTGCTTTGCATGCTCATTATCCATTGAATTGGGGGATCCATACACTTTAGAATATAGAGATGGATTTGTTTGAAGAAGGACCATCTGCTAGATGTATCTTGTACTCCATTTTAGTTCTTTTCGACCAGCTTTCTAAATAAACGTTTGACGATATTAGTATCAGTGCAAGACAGTGTGGTTTTTATTTTCGCCTTACCAAGAGTCCGTTCTCTCCTAGAAGTAGTATGGACTGCCTGATAGTGAGAAGCGAATATCAGTTAGATCAGTCTTCTTGGTCTGCCCTTACCACAACTCCAGGTGTTTTTTGGCAAGCCTTTGCCTGTAAGCTTTAATATTGTCTATGCTCTGAGTAAGTTCAGAATCCTATAACATAGATCTTTATGTCTCCATGAGACCAAGTCTAAATATTGAGGTTTTTTCCAGTTTTTAATCCCAGGACACATTGAAATGTTAATGGTTAGTTCTCTTTTCTTTAAGGAAAAAAACTGAGAATGGGAAGATACTGACAAGTAAACAGTTCTTTCTTAAAATGTAGCATTATCTGGTTCTCTACCGTACATCTGGCTTAAAAACAAGTCAGAAGGACCCAGGAATAAGTTGCATAAGGAAACATACGGGAAAAGCGTAAATGCCATTTGATAGTAAGAAAAAGAGAAAAACAAAGGACACAGAAATGCTACACATACATCAGAAGGATGGAATGGGGAGGCCAGAAAAAATGGGGGTGCAATTGGGGATGAATGTAAACACACATAATCCTGCCTATTTTCAAAAGCCTCGGAGTATATTCATGTGTTAGAACACAGTATAATAATGAATGTTCTTTATGATTGAGGTGTCATCAAGAAACAAAAAATAAGTTATATTTAGTATGTTTCATTTAAGAAGTCAAGGCAAAATGTAACCCTGTCACAGATTTTCCAGTTCAAATGATTAAATAAAGTTTGAATGCCTTAAAATTTAGTTTTTAAAAAAATTTTATATTTAGGTGGATAATTTACCTGTTTCCTAATGACATCTAATTTAAGTGATCCAAAGAGGGAAACTTAAGTATTAGATTCCAGATTTTCATCAAGAGGAAATTTCATCCTGTATGTTCATTAGCAGATGATATTTATTAAATGTTCACATATATATAGTGGTGTACAAACTGTTACAGTTAGTGCATTTTCATTTTCATTAAAACATTGTAACCAAAAGCTTGTTTGCTATTAAATGACTGAAATTCTGAGAGGCTCAGATTTGTTCATTTGGTGCAATACAGCTAATTCAGGTTCAGTAAAGAAATTGGCAAAGTTCATTACCTAATGAGAATAGGCTAGATTGTTTGATTCTGCTGTTCCACCATATTGTTGTTTAAAAACAACAAATTTTCAGTTTTTAAAAATTCACCTTTAAAGTATTTGAAAAGCTGAAAAGATGGTCAGGAACTGCAAGGTTAACTTGGGGGAGAAAGCCTGGCCCAGGGAGGTAAGTAGATCATCAGAGCACTAAAGTCAGTTTTGCCTTCAAGACATTTGCCAAAACACAAATGGGCTTTGGTTCATCAACTCAGACCAGGAGAAATGAAACTGAAAGCTCAGAGTGTGTAGAAGCTGTAAAGCCTTAGAAAAGTTCCTCCACACATGAGAAAAGCGTGCTCATGTGCATTAAGGATATTCGTAGCAGCATTGTTCTTAATAGCCACAAAGCTGTCCATCAATAGTAAAATGAATAATGATGAAAATTATACAACAGTGAAAATAAACTTTGGTTACATGTAACAAGGATGAGTCCACAATGTTGGAGTAAAGAAGCAAGATAAAAGAATACATGTAGTATGACCTGGTTTATATAAAACAGCCAGACAATGCTAAAAAGCATTGTTTATGGCAAGCCTTGGCAAACTTTCCCTTAAAGGCAAGATGGTAACTATTTTAGATTTAACTGCCACGTGGTCTCTGTTACAACCAAAGCTACTAAACTCTGCCACTGTAGTGCAGAAGTAGCCCTAGTCCAGCCAAAGCTGTGTTCCAGCAAGAACTAATCCCTAGTTTATGGATACTTGTATTCAAGATAAAATTACTTTTTAAAGTAAGGGGATGAGAGAAGGAAAATGATAACCATAAAAAGGTTTTGGAGAAGAGAGGGGTTTATGATCAGGGAAAGATAAATGAGGACTTCCGGGATGCTGGCAGTGCTTTCATGTGGCTTGTGCATGGAGGTTGCCCAGATGTTTATCTATTAAATCCTGTGTAAAAGTTGTACAACAAGTTGTATGTCTTAAATAAGTTTTTAAAAATAAAAATTGTCAGTGTTTCCTTAATTGGTTAATTCAGTGTTGTGTGGATTTTTGTTCGCTTTTGAATTGCACTGCTTTCTGAAATCTGTCAGAAATATTTCTAGAAGAATTTAAATGTTATATTACTATGTGATTTTAAATCACAAACATTTAAAAATATAGAACACTACTATTTTGTATTAATAATTCAGGATGTGAACACTAGATAATATGTTTCAGTGACTTAGATATAATATGGCTTTCAGTTACAATCTTGGCTTTATTTACACGAAAGGATTACAGTTGTCCTCTTTCTCTTACTCACAGGTTCAGTAGATGAAGGCGTTACTGAGGGGTTGCCTACACTTCAAAGCACGTCTAGCACTAATGCTCCTGCGGATGATGACGATCGGTCAGTACTAATATAGCATGTCATTACCTTGTAAGGGTTGTGTTTACAACTCCAAATTCAAGCATTTTATCTCAGAGTTGTGGAAGTTTATTGCAACCTCACTTCAGTATACACACAGAGTAATGAAGTAGCATCATCACATTATAAATTAGAGCACCTATACAAGGCTTTTTTTTTTTTTCCAGCATTTCCTTAACTACCTAGTCCCATTGCATTAAATCGTATGTGTATCAGGTGTTGGCAAACTATGAACCACAGGCCAACTCCAGCCCACCACCTTTATTCGTAAACCAAGTATTATTGGAACACAGCCACGCTCATTTGTTGACATATTGTTTGTGGATGGCAGAGTTGAGTGGTTGAAACAGACTGTATGGTGTGCAGAGTCAGAATGTGTACTGTATGGACTGCTGTGAAAAACGTCTGCCAGAGTCTGATCTGTATACTCATAACTCCCTCCCTGCTTGATATTTCCACATAAATGTATAAAGGGCATTTCACATTGAACAAGGCCAAGATGGAACTCTTGATTTCTAACTCCCTGTCTGAATCCTCCTTCTCCAGCTTTTCTTCCATTTCAGTACACCTCATCATTATCCCTCTAATTTCTCAAGCAGAATCTCTGAGAATTAATGTTTTTCCCTACCAATCTTCATCTCCCCCTTAGTTAATCCTTAAGCAAGTCCTGTCCACTCTGCCTATAAAATATATCCCTGTCTACTTTTCCAGTCTGTACTATAGCCACCCTAGTCTAGGTCACCACCATCTTCTGCCTTGACTACTGCAATAGCCTTCAAATTAGCCTCTGATTTCATTCTTCCCCAATTCTAATCCATTTTCTAAGTAGCAACCAAAATCATCTTTTCTTTTATAATTAAGTCAGATTATGTCACTGGTTTTTGTTGTTTTTTTTTTTAAAAAAAAAAGAAAAAATGAAGGAGAGGAAGAAAGAGAAAGAGGAAGAGGGAGAGAGAACGGGGCTGTTGCTTTATTGCCCAGGCTAGAATGCAGTCTAAAAATGGGTATGCCTGTAATTGTGCTTAATAATAGAGACATGAAAAAAAAATGAGGGAAGAAAATAACAAACAAGCAGCCAACCAGTATTTCATTGAAACCTGTAAATAGGTGTGATGTGGTACTGATAAGAGTGTATATTTTGTGTATTTAAAGTGGAGAGTTCCATAAATGTTAATTAAGTTTACATGTTCCAGATCTGAGTTCAAATCCTGGATATCGTTGTTAATTTTCTGTCTCATAGATCTGTCTAATATTGATGATGAAGTCTCCCACTATTATTGTGTGGGAGACTAAGTCTCTTTATAAGTCTTATATATCTGGGTATTCCTGTATTGGGTGCATATATATTTAGGATCTTTAGCTCTTCTTGTTGCATTGATCCTTTTATCATTATGTAATATCCTTGTTTGCTTCTTTTGATCTTTGTTGCTTTAAAGCAACTTCTGCTTTTTATTTATTTATTTATTTTTGCTCTCCATTTGGTTGGTAAATCTTTCTCCATCCCTTTGTTTTGAGTCTTTGTGTATCCTTGCATGTGAGGTGGGTCTGGATGCAGCATACCGATGGGTTTTGGCTTTTTTTTGCCTGTCTGTGTCTTTGGATTGGGGATTTAGTTGATTTAAATTTAGAATTAATAATAATATATGTGAGTTTAATACTGCCATTTAATGTTAGCTGGCTGCTTTGCCTATTACTTGATGTAAATTCTTGATTATGTTGATGCTCTTTATTTTTTGGTATTTTTTAGAAAGGCTGATACTGGTTGTTCCTTTCTCTGTGTAGTGGTTCTTTCAGAAGCTCTTGTAAAGCAGGCCTGGTGGTGATGAAATCTCTGAGTGCTTGCTTGTTCACAAAAGATTTTATTTTTCCTTCGCTTATGAAACTTAGTTTGGCTGGATGTAAAATTCTGGGTTGAAAGTTCTTTTCTTTAAGGATGTTGAATATTGGTCCCCACTGTCTTCTAGCCTGTAGGGTTTCTGCTGAGAGATCTGCTGTGAGTCTGATAGGCTTCCCTTTATGGGTAACCTGACCTTTCTCTCTGGCTGCCCTCAGTATTTTCTCCCTCATTTCAACCCTGGTGAATCTGGCGATTATGTGCCTTGAGGTTGGTCTTCTTGAGGAATATCTTTGTGGTGTTCTCTGTATTACCTGGAGTTGAATATTGTCCTCCCTTGCTAGATGGGGAAAGTTTTCCTGAATAATATCCTGAAGCGTATTTTCCAGCTTGGATTGGTTCTCTTCATCACATTCAGGTACACCTATCAAGCATAGATTAGGTCTTTTCACATAGTCCCATATTTCTTGGAGACTTTGCTTGTTCCTTTTTATCCTTTTTTCTCTAATCTTGTCTTCTCGTTTTATTTCATTAAGTTGGTCTTCGACTTCTGATATCTTTTCTTCTGCCTGATCGATTCGGCTGTTAAAACTTGTGCATAGTTCACGAAGTTCTCGTGTTGTGTTTGTCAGCTCCATTCACTTATATTCCTCTCTAAATTGTGTATTGTTGTTAACATTTCGTCAATCCTTTTTTCAAAATTCTTAGTTTCTTTGCGTTGGGTTAGAACAAGTTCTTTTTTTTTTTTTTTTTGAGACGGACTTTCGCTCTTGTTACCCAGGCTGGAGTGCAATGGCGCGATCTCGGCTCACCGCAACCTCCGTCTCCTGGGTTCAGGCAATTCTCCTGCCTCAGCCTCCTAAGTAGCTGGGACTACAGGCACGCGCCACCATGCCCAGCTAATTTCTTGTATTTTTAGTAGAGACGGGGTTTCACCATGTTGACCAGGATGGTCTCAATCTGTTGACCTCGTGATCCACCCACCTCGGCCTCCCAAAGTGCTGGGATTACAGGCTTGAGCCACCGCGCCTGGCCCAGAACAAGTTCTTTTAATTCACAGAAGTTTCTTACCATCCACCTTTTGAAGCCTGCTTCTGTTAATGGAACACACTCGTTCTCCATCAGGCCTTGTTCCGTTGCTGATGAGGAACTGTGATCCCCTGTAGAGGGAGAGGCGTTCTGATTTTGGGTATTCTCAGCCTTTTTAGGCTGTTTTCTTCCCTTCTTTATAGATTTATCCATCTGTGGTCTTTATAATTACCGTCTTTATAATTGGGTCTCTGAGTGGACGTCCAACTTGTTGATTCCCGGTGCTAAAATCTGAGCAATCCACTGCGCCGGCCAAAACAGCGGCGTTATGATTGATGGTGCTTTTCTGACACTGCACCAAGAACCGCCGCACCAAGGCAGCAGCAAAACCACCTAGACGGCCACAAGAGTCGCACTGGCGACCCATGGGGCTCCTCCGCTGGGAATCTCCTGGTGTGTGAGCAACAAAAATTCATCTGAAAGTGTGGTGTCCTCTTGTTCTCTGCGCTTTCACTGGGAGCTACAATCCCGAGTTGCTAGTGATCGGCCATCTTGGATCTCTCTCCTATGTCACTGTTTTAAGCTATAGATTCTTAACATTCTTTATTCAAATACCTAAAATCTATAGTCCTTGCTATGCCTTAGAGCTCTACATGAGACGACGTCTGCCAAACTCCTTTCAGACCATTCTCCCCCTTACACTACATTCTAGCCTCATAGATCTTCTTTCATAGTTCCTGGAGTACTGCCTTTGGGCCATTCTGTCACTTTAGGACCTTTGCCAGAAAAGCTTTCTCTCCCAATTTTCACATTGTTGGCTCTAGATTCTTGACCTTCAGATTACTGTCTTGGTATCAGTTCTCAAGGAGACTTTTCCTGACCACCAGTCTCAAGCAGCACCCAATCACTCTTAAATCCTTCTAATTTAATTATCTGCTCTGATAATTTCCTTGATTATTATCTGTGTCTCACCCACTGAATGTAGACTCTACTGAATGATTACATTCTTCCTCAGAGAAGGTCCAGGACGATCTTAAAAACGGTATTTGTTGAAAACTTGAAGGATTCTCACGGGACTCAAACCAGGTTCATTTTTCTTGGATAGCTAAACCTAGTAGGGAGGTTATGAACTGGAATCGTTTGAATGGATTAATGAAAGCATAAACAGCAATGTGCCTAGTCTCCTTAATTTCAGGTATTAATCGGGTTGTTTGTTCTGTGTTAGATACTGTGCTGCATGGTAGAAATTTAGAGATGAAATATGCAGCCCCTTTCCTTAAGGAGCTCAATCGATTTTGGAGGAAGGATAAGGATTGAAGGTAGACAAACAGATCATCATAAGTGATCTGCAGAGCTCTGTTGCCCTGCATAGGAGGATGCCTACCTAAACCACTGATAAGTCAAAGAAGGCTTCCAGGAGGAGCATGTGACTTCCTAGCTACATTTCGTAAAATGAGTAGGTGTATGGTATAGGGTATGTTTGGGGAGTATGACAAGAAATGAGGCTAAAAAGGCATAGAAAGTTCATATCATGAGGAATCATCTATACCTTGCAAAAGGGTTTGATTTTATTCTGAAGATAACAGCCATTGTAGAATTTTAGACAAGGGACTGATTTGATCAGAACACTATGATGCAGTGAAAGGATGGATTAGAGGAGTGTGGAGCTAAATGGAGAGAGTTATTAATTCAGGCTTGTATTAATGAAGGCCTAAATTTCAGAAGTGGTTAGAAGAAAAGGATTGTTAAGATTAAGGACATTTAAGGTAAAATAGTTGATATGTTCTGTGGTCGTGTGTCCATGTTTAACCAAGATAGGCATTCTGGGCCGGGCGCGGTGGCTCACACCCGTAATCTCAGCACTTTGGGAGGCCAAGGTGGGCAGATCACCTGAGGTCAGCAGTTTGAGACCAGCCTGGTCAGTATAGTGAAAACTTGTCTCTAATAAAATACAAAAATTAGCCGGGTATAGTGGCACATGCCTATAATCCCAACTATGAGGGAGACTAAAGCAGGAGAATCACTTGAGCCTGGGAGGCGGAGATTGCACCAAGATCACACCACTGCACTCCATCCTGGGTGACAGAGCGCGACTCTGTCTCAAAAAAACAAAAGTGTTCTGGACTGTAACTTTATTTTTCATGTTGTTAAAGTAAAATTTGCAATCTAACAGTTAAACTGTTTCAAAAAGTCTTTTAAGTGTTTTATCTTTTTTTATTTAAAATTGACCTATAGCAGTGTTTATTCAGTTTAAAAATCAGAGCCTGGTTGCCTTCTTTGGTCTGTTTTTTTTAGATTGGAAAATGTTCAGTATCCCTACCAACTCTACATTGCTCCTTCTACCAGCAGTACAGAACGACCAAGTCCAAATGGTCCAGACAGACCTTTTCAGTGTCCAACCTGCGGGGTGCGATTCACCCGTATTCAGAACCTAAAACAGCACATGCTCATCCACTCAGGTAATGTCACCTTCCCTGTTGTTGCATAAGTAAACATTCTGAAACATTTTATTTTGGAGTCCCAGTTAAAATAGAAAACAGGTGCTTCTGAGTTTAAAAAAGAAAAAAAACTCTGGGAAATCAAATGAAAACAGAATAGCTAAGGTTTATTGCTGAAATGGTGCAGTGTCAGAAAGTTGTTTGCCATGGGTGTTAAGTATTCTGATTGAAAGAACCTAAGGTGATATGGAGTGAGTAATTTGTAAATAAAAAGACATATTAGGTGTGCACATAGAGGTGAGATAAACAAGTGCAAACAGAGATGGTAAAGCAAATAAGGTTAAAAGGGTCAATGTGGGTGTTCTTTGTGCTGTTTTTCTTATAACGTCTCTGTAAGTTTGAAATTATTCCCAAATAAAAGGTGCGTTTAAAATATATTTTCTTGCTAATTTACTTTCAATTCTACAGCCTCAAATCTCCGTGTTCCCTGATGAGTCAGCTTTGTAGTTTGTATATTTTTAAAACGTAAGAGAGATTTTGGATAGATGAATAGAAGGGATTTGAAACTTTAGTTCAATAATCACATAAAGGCAACAGGATTCTTGTGGGTAAAACACTGACCTCTGATGAGTAAGAGGTCTTTGCTGCTGTTTTCAGCTGTGTGAGTTATTATCTCACTTCCCTCTTCTGTAGCTAGGTCTTATAGTCCCTGGCCTAGCACCAATTCTCTGTGACTTTGTTCAATCAGCAGATTGTGTTTTGAAAGGTTTTAAAATTTTTTCCCCAAAAAACTGTGATAATGAATTTGAGGAGACTATTAATATACTTTATAACTTATTTATTTCTAGCAATATTACATCAGATTACCCCCAAAAAAGCATTATATCAAATGATGGTTCTGTCTTGCTCATTACATTCAGAGATGTTGGAAGTGTTCTTTCTTCTTCTCGTTTCTCTGTGAGATAGGGAACAGAGAGTAGGTCCTGATGATTTTCACATCTTTTCAAACAAACCTTTCTAATGAAATGAAATAATACATGCTGTTACATGGAGATTTGGGTTCTGTCTACATACTGTAGTTAAATTGTGTTTTGAAGTTAGTAAAATAGATGATTTAGAAAAGTATTCAAAAATCATCTTCAGTAGACATTACCTAGTTTGCCTCCCCTGCTGCCTTTTTTTCTTTTCATTTTTAAGCACTTTTCAAATTCTGCACATTTTCAAATTAGAATATGTTTTTGCTGGTAATTTTTGTCTTTTCAAATGATCTGTTGCTACAGAAATAAAATTAACAGATTTGTAAGGTTTATGACTTTTCAGTTTAATTTTTGTTTTTAGATTATATTTTGTTTTTCTTTATAGGAATTAAACCATTTCAGTGTGACCGCTGTGGGAAAAAGTTCACCAGGGCTTACTCGCTAAAGATGCATCGCCTAAAGCATGAAGGTAAACGCTGTTTCCGGTGCCAGATATGTAGTGCCACTTTCACTTCCTTCGGGGAATATAAACACCACATGAGGGTTTCCCGGCACATTATCCGCAAGCCTCGGATTTACGAGTGCAAAACATGTGGCGCCATGTTCACCAACTCTGGAAATTTAATCGTGCACCTGAGGAGTCTGAACCATGAAGCATCAGAGCTAGCAAACTACTTCCAGAGCAGGTGAGGTGCACAACGAAAACCCAACCAGGAAAACTGCTTTCTAAACTCTCTTTTCCTGCTTTTAGGGCAGCCTGCTGTGTTTTTACATCAGGTTGCCAGCTAGTCACTCACATTCGTTATAAATCCCCACTATTCATACTCTAAACTCCTGATCTGATAAAATTTTGCTGAGTCTTCTAAGTATATAAAATTATAAATATTTTATAGTTGGTATTAAAAATATTTTCCTGTAGAAATAGACTACTTGTCCTCTTGAGAGATTTTTTAAATAATATAAGGTTTAAGTAATTCTGTAATGGATCTTAAATAGATCTTATTGGAAATTTTACCATGTCAGATGATACTTAGTGATACTAGATTACTTCAGACTCTAGATGTTAGTAAAATTCTTGACCACTTCTCTCTATTTAAAAAAATCTATATAAAGGAATATCCATTGGCCAGTAAGAAAAGTTTCAACAGTAACTATAATGGGTGTGATGGTTTAGATTTCATGAAGTCATTCCTGTTTTCATTCAGTTTAGAGTTCTATTTTTTTATAATAGAATTACCTTTCCGATATATAGCACATCCAAGGAAATCAGGCTCTAGTTCTAGTTCTGCCACTAACTGCTGTTGATTAAACATGTCACTTTACAGGTGAAAAAGCTTGAAATTTAGAGAAAATGTAAGCTTTAAACTATGGTTTCTAAGTTCTCCTCTAGATATAAAACTGTTGTTTTAAATCATTTATAAGAATTATACTTCTGTAGGAATCCTTAGTTTCTCATAAAATGAAATTTTTACAAATCTTTACCTTTTTTTTTTTTTGAGACAGAGTCTCACTCTATCCCCCAGGCTGGAATGCAGTGGCACAATTTCGTCTTACGACAACCTCAGCCTCCTGAATAACCTGGATTACAGGCACCCACCACCAAACCTAGCTAATTTTTGTATTTTTAGTCAAGATGTGGTTTCACCATGTTGGCCAGTTTAGTCTTGAACTCCTGACCTCAAGTGGTCCGCCCACCTTAGCCTCTCAAAGTGCTGGGATAACAGGTGTGAGCCACCATGCCCAGGCCAATTCTTTACATTTTTAATACCTTTATTTTTAAAACCTTTTAATTGAATACATGGGGTCTTGCATTGTTGCCTAGGCTGGAGTGCAGTGGCTATTCACAGGCACAATCATAGTGCACTCCTGGGGTCAAGCAGTTCTCCTGCTGGGCTACCACACCTGACTTAAAACCTTATTATTTTTATCTATTTATTTTTTTGTGGAACAAAATATCCTCTTGATATCCAAAAAACCTTATTTTTAAACAAATTCCAAATTATTCCTGCATAGATTTTGTTTTTCTCCTCAAATCAAACATTCATTTTATTTAATGCAGTCATCTCTAATTCTGAATGTGTGGTTGCCATCTCACTAAACCTTAGATTATACATAATCATATTAAACATAGTTTGCTTGGGACTAAAATAGTGTTCCTGTTAACTACTCCTGTTATCTTTAGCTTCCCTGTACAGAAGCCTGTATTCTCCACTCTTCTCTAACACCTGAAGTCTTCTTAGAAAATATAACATAGGGCATTCTAAATTGCTTTCCAGATGAACAGATTTTAATTTTTTATTAATACTGAACAATAAAATTATAAAATAAACTTATCAAGTCTAATTACATATATTATTGACAATTTTGGTATAATGAAATTTTCAGTTCAGTAATAAGATTTAAATAATGCCTCTAAGATAAGAGTTATTTTACATGCTTGGTTTCAACTACCAAAATATGCTTATAAGTAGAAAATTTAGGAAATACAGAAAAGTATAAGGAAGAAATTTAAAATCTTTTCTGATCTCATTATTTAAGGAAAATAGCCACTGTTTTAGTATATTTTACTGTCCATGTTTTCTGTGGGTATCAATAATTAAATACTTTTTGAGGATTAACACATAGCCAATCTCAAGGCATTCATTTCCAAATTCTGATTCAAAGATAATTTATTTTCATATACCAAATGTAATAGCAAGATACACATACATTATTTTCTACATTTCACAACTCTGTATAGTAGATTATGTATCAGGTCACTTATGCATAAGGACTTAATTTCTTAACTAATGTCAAGTTTAATAATATAAAGCTAGCTTTATATGTCTGTTACTCAGTATATAATCAAGAAAAGTTAAGCATTAAAGTTACTCAGATGATCTTTGTTTAAGTGAGCATCCTACATTTGTTTTGTAGATGGAAACTCCTCTGCATAGAACAAGAAAGGTGGTAGGGTGTCCAGAGGTATAATAAAAGTGATAATCTGATGTATTGGTGGTAGGGGAGATTGATACATTTTGGTTTTACTGGATGTTTTGGTTCATATTTAGGAAAGTTTATAAGTTGAAAGTTCCTGAGTTTTAATCTTCACTGAAGAATTAGTGAAATGAAAAGTCCCAATTTTGTTGTATAAATCAGAGCTTTTTATTGTTGCTTATCCATTACTGTTTTGAAAATTAATTCCGTATTTCATCCTTTGCCTCTTATCTAGTGATTTCCTAGTGCCGGACTACTTAAACCAGGAACAAGAAGAGACCCTTGTTCAATATGATCTTGGAGAACACGGTTTTGAAAGCAACTCCTCTGTTCAAATGCCTGTAATTTCGCAGGTCTCCTCGACCCAGAATTGTGAAAGCACTTTTCCCTTGGGGTCTCTTGGTGGGCTGGCAGAAAAAGAGGAAGAAGTGCCCGAGCAGCCAAAGACCAGTGCTTGTGCCGAGGCAACCAGAGATGACCCCCCAAAGTCAGAGCTGTCTTCTATAACTATTGAGTAATTTTGTGATTTGGCTTCATTTTTGTTTTTTGGAAAGTGCCTGTGCTTGGTCTTGTACATTTAAATTAAATTTAATTTTTTAAACAAAAAAAGCTGGGCAGCAGGGGAGGGGGAGATTGGGAAAGAATTTCCCTTTTTACTTTCTGAGCCCTGAAACTAATTTTATTTTTCATAAATGAGAGATTGCTTCTGTAAGTACACAATAACATGATATTGAAACAGAAACTACGAGACTTAAGGAGAACTGGTTGACTTAAAACATTCATACACCAGTTTCCTCTATTGTTAAAAGTAGGCTAACAACACATCATTAGCTAGAGAGGAAATCAGATGATTATTGACCTTCTTGAGATGAAAAAGTACACAAGAAACTACTAAACAGTTTGACAAATGGCCTGAATAGATACTTACTGCTGTACACAGAATGTTGTATAATATTTTGTAAAGCCTGTTGTTTCTGGAAGTATTTATGGTAAGCTTTCTTAAAAATTATTAGGGTAAATACTTCCGAAATCCAGCATACTTTTTTCTTTAAAGCCTTGTCATTTCTATTATGTTTTTTCCTGGTGAAATTTTGGTACTGCAGTGGGCATTCTCTGTACCTTTATAGTACCACTCCAAAGGCAAAGAACTATGATTGACAACAGTCAAGCTGTGGATGAAATGACCAGGAATGGAGAGTGAAGTATGTAAATCTCAGCTTCATAGGAACTTTTCATATTGCTTTTCTGACTAAAATTGCTGTTTACCTGGTCTCTGAATGTTAACGTCTAATTTAAGTCATTGCCCAAATCAGTTAATCAGTTTTCCTCTTGCCCCATCAATATGTTCTCTTGCATATATTGGCCTGCTGCCATATAAATTAAAATGTTAGAGATATTCTATATTTTACATATAGGTTGATGTGTTGTTGGGGATGTTTTTGTTGTGCTCTTTTGGATGTAATAAAGAATTCTCTATTGAGGCTATATTCTATTTTTTCCTTTTTTTTTTTTTTTAAAGAGGGTGGCATCTCACTCTGTTGCTCAGGCTGGAAGTGTAGTGGCTCAGTCATAGCTCACTGCAGATTCAAACTCCTGGGCTCAGGCGATTCTCCTGCCTCAGCCTCTTGAGTAGCTAGAATTATAGGCATGCTCCACCACACCTGGCTAATTTTATTTTTATTTTTTATAGAGATGAGATCTCACTATGCTGCCCAGGCTGGTCTTGAACTCCTAGGTCAAGTGATCCTCCTCCCTTGGCCTCCCAAACTGCTAGGATCACTGCAGCTGGCCAAGGCTACATTCTTAACCCAACTAGATTGTTTACCAAATCCCATATGACAGCAATACATTGTCTTTACATATTTTTAGACATTGCAAAGTTATTTAAAGCAATTACTATAGTTTTTACACAATGTAGGCAGCAATGTAAAAGATGAGAATAGGCTGTAAGATTTTCATCTATGACTCATAAATCTGGGAGAAAAAATTGTTAATACTAATGAGAAACTGAAAACCTTAAAGCAATGAATATTACCATTTCTGCTGCTAAAAATATGAAATTTTTTGGTGTGTAGTTGAAATTTTTATGATTCTCTAGACTTGGGTATACTTTTTATCTGGTGCCATTAAAGCATCTCCAATATTTATCCTAAATATTTGTAAGTCCGTGAACAGTGAACATTTGAATAAGTTTCTGTGTAGATACCCAAAGTTTAATAATTATGAGACCACCTGATTTGATTAGAAAAGAGACAGAAAATACAGCTCTTTAGTCAACACAAGATCTGAATTTTGTTCAGGTTCTAAACCATACCAAATGTATATATTTTTAATTAAAGTGATTTGTTTCAGTTTTAGAAATTGGCTAATTCTGTAATTTTTTCCCAAAAAAAAAGAAAGGAAAAGGAAATTACATTTTTTTAGGATTGTTTTAGGTTAAGATTGTCTCTGCCCATATTCTGCAGTCCTTAACTTGTTTTCAGCTCTTTACCCCACTCATGGACTTGTTTTTACCCATTTGCTCTCAAACATAGGTGTGTTACCTTCAGGAGAATCAACATACACAGGTTATGATAGGCTTCCACCATTTATGCTTCTTTACTGATGGGTTGAATTACTTTCTGCAGCAAACTGTAATACTTCATGTAATACTGCTGTTTCTCAACTGGAAAGGTCAGGAATTTTTATTTTAATGTCACATTGTGGTCTTTGAAAACTGTCGTGCCTACCAATAGATAAATCTCAAAATTAATTTTAAAATCTATATTGACAAGAATAGGTAAAATTATAATCAGGAATTATTGTTACTCTTAGTTGCAAGAGGTTATTTGTTTTTGAAAGAGCAAGACGAAAGGGGGGGGAAGGAAAGAAGAATAAAGAAGATAAATGTATAACAATTGTTTGCAGATTTATTGGTTACAAGTGTTTTGTTTTTTAGCTCATTCCCTACCTTGAAAACTTTAAGAGAGCCAAGCACAATTTTGGTAGTTGTAAGATACTCTGTTTTCTCAGAATGAAGGATTACCCATCACTGGGTATTCTTTCCCAAGTAGAAATTTTAGGTTTTCATTGGTAATTATAAATGGTCAGGTTTTATGGGAAATCTAAAAATACTGTAAAAATGCAGATCTGGTTAGTTGTCTCTTGCCCAGATCTTACCAATACCAGTAACTAACCAGTACTTAACATAAAATGATACAAAGGCCTTTTTCTATTTCAGTGAGAGTCTACATTTTTCTTGATATATGTACTTTAAGGATACTGGATCTGTTTTATGAAACAAATTTGCAAGGGATAATTGTATATATAGTGGTATTTAGATTTATTTCAAATTCATCTTAGAAAGGGATGCCTAGATGCATAATTTTTACCAGGACATATTGAAAATATTGCAAAGAGCCAGCTATATTATCCCATTCATTAGAAATTACAAATGTAACTAAACATAAATATTCCAGTTTAGAGTACTTAAACATAGCTATCTTTCTTAAGGCCAGGAAGGTAACTTTGTGGTATCTAAAGGGCTTAAATTTCAGAATGCAGAATAAGTTGCCTTTTTAAAACCAAGCATTTTATACAAGAGCTTTTATTTTCACTTTTTTAACTACCAAATAGGTATGATGTACTTTAGAAGTAAACAAAGATGTTCACCCATGATAATAGATGTTAAAGCTCCTGCAGTTCTCTTCATAAAGGGTATATTCTAATAGTGGAAGCATCTAGCATGTCAGTGATTTCATCTAATTCAGAAGCAAAGGGATTAATATTGGTCTTTTTTTTTTTTTTTTGGCATTTTAAGTTTTATATAAATGGATGCAGATGGAGATTATCACCCACAAATATATTTAAATAGATTTTTCTTAATTTGAATTTCAGGTAATCTTTTTATTTCAAGTAATTAGTTATGCATTGAGTTACATTGCCAGTTTTGTTTTTTTAAGTTCTCAATTTCAGTAAGACAAAATATACTAAAATGTTTAAATAGCCTCATTCAGTCTTGCATTTTGACATTTCAACAACCATTCTGGCTTACAGTAATTAGGTCCCCTGTTATGACACATGCCCTTTAGTCTTAAAAACTAGCAAAAAACCTTTCATTTTGTTAAAATACTTTACCAAATGAAATAAACTAGTCAACACATCTAATGTCCATAATTATTGGTAACTTAACCAGTAGGCTGGTTCAGGAGACTCTCCAGGTTAAGAATGGTTCCCTTGGGAGCCTTTGGAAGCTGTATTAAATCTTTCAGTCTTTTCTTCTTTTATTCTTTTCATCTAAATAGAGGCCAGTTATCTATTTTAGCAGCTTTTGCCTTGAAGATTCTCAGATTATGTTTTTAGTCCCTTTTAGCTTTAATAGTCCTTGAAAAATACATTACTATATAATACAATGGCAATTCTATAACAGAGAATTGTTTTTATTACTTGAAGAATGAATAATCCTAAAATTTTAATATTTCAACTGAAAGAAGTTTGAGATTTGTGGAATTGATGAACAAAAGAATTAGAAACTTTTTACTGTTTCACTCATCTGCAAAGTATGAAGTTGTATTTCTGAAATACACATCCAAGTGAACGAGAATTTAAAATTTTCTCAATATTAATATTATTAACATATTAACTGGGGGAAAAAAGCTAGTGTGAAGTTTACAGTTAGAAGAAACAGACCCAAAGTTGCCAAAGGGTAATAAATAAATGTAGTTTTCACTGTAAGTTATTAATGTGAGATGCTTTATTTGTAATATATTTAGATTTTGAAGGTTATTGAGAGACAAATGTATAAAAGCTAAATTTTCTTTTCTGAAGCAGCAGAACAAAATTGGGATAACAAGGAAGCTCTATTGTGGCAAACATGTCTATGAGGAATACTATTCTCCCACAGGCTTTAAACTCAAATCATGAACATTTAAATTCAGTTGTTCCTTATTTTGTCTATACCCATTTTTATCTTTCAGTGTCATTTTTGCTTGACAGAATATAGAGTATTTTTATTTGGAAAGTCCTCAGCAAGATGAATTAGCCAAAAGCAATAATGGTTCAGATTAAACAACAAAGTGGAATTGATCCAATCCCCAGGCTCAACTAAGGAACAGTCGCTCTCTGGATGTTTCATTTTAGACTATGGATAAGTTGAGATGTTGTAATATTTATGGGGGGATTAAGCCTATGTCAGTTATGGGATGAAGACTTGCACTAGTACCATCAGTAGTTATACTTCTTAAAAAACTTTTTTCTAAACTGATAGTTAGATATTTCCACTCTATCATGATTATATTTTTTTGACAGAAAAAAACTGTTCCGTGTTTTTATAAATAGTCTCTGCAGAGATTTCAGATGATGTTATTGGTATCTTGGTTTGGCCGTATCCAAAAAATTGAGATTGCTTTTAAAGTGTTTGTGCTACTTTTAGTTAAGTAAACCCCCACTGTATAAGACCCAGGCCGATTCCAACTAATACCAAGGTTTCTATGTGCATGATAGTTTACAAAGAACTTAAGAGTAAAGACTATGGATTTAAAACAAAAACTTTTTTAAATAAATTTGTTTAACTTTAAAATTTTTAGTTTTTGTTTGAAGTACCTGGTTTATAAAGTCAAATTCTTGTATTATTTCCTTTCTCTTTTAAATTGACGAATTTTGTTGATTAAGCTTAAAGTCCCGGGCACAATTGTGATGATACACTCATAAAATTGCTGCCTAGTGGTTTGAGGAGCTCCAGTGTCATGACTTTTGTTAAATTGCCTTTGTTTACCTACATTCAGTCAAACAGATGAAAAATCATCCCCTAAATGAATGTTGAGGTTACCAAAGTACATCACCTGCTGAGGAAGGATAAATCTTCCTGCTTTAAGGGAGCCCTGTTGTCTCCTCTTAAAACACATTGTTTCCCTTGGTATTAGTGGAAGCTGTGTTCAAGATGGGAAGTCTTTACGCAGTTCTTAGAAACACCTGCTTTCTAAAGAGAGCCTTTTCTAGGATTAGGTTATGTGTGTTCTCTAGGAGATTTTTTATTTCAGTTACCAATTTAATTTTCAAGTTGACAGATGCTATGTAAAGTCTCTCATACTGAGAGTAGTCCATTAAATTTTTGAAAGTTGCACTGTTTTTCAGCTTTCAGGTACCTGAAATGAATGACATCAGGTATTTGGAAGGAGTAAGGTCACAAACTTTATTCATTTTCTTCCTTGTACAAAGTGATGACTTCTAATGCTTATATCTCAAGGTATTTTTTAAAAAAGCAACAGTCCCTAATAGAGTAAAATTTGGTTTTGGTTCAAGTTCCCAATAATATATTTAATGTTTCTGTTATTACTGGTGCCTCCTGTTGCATCAGATAGAGATTGCCTGCCTCTTTATAGGGCACCTTGTGGCACCTTGTGTCCAACTTGGAGGATAGTATATGGCTTCTTTGTGCCTCTACTATCTTTTCAAAAGCCATTTTATAAAGATCCTAGGTAGCCTATTTTAATATTTAAATATATATATTTGTGAAAGAACTTTTAGAACAGACTTTTTTTTTTTACTTTAAAATGTCTGTATTTCCATTTTTAAGAGTAAATTTAATCTTCTCCAGGATTTAGAAATGTCTTTTTTTTTTTTTTTCCAGAGAAGCATAATGAAAAAGTCAGATTGAGGTAATAGACCAGAAATAAGTGACAGAAGAAACTGTTGTTTGGTTAAAGGAGACAGATTTGAAGGAAAAAATTTTTGATGTAACAAATTTTTTTAAAAATTTTGTTTTTGTTCTGTAATTTCATATTTGCTGCTACAGTAGCTCAATATTTTATAGGGCTAACATAAATCTGGCTCCATTTAAAAACTGGAGTACTTCCTAGTGCAACCAGCCTAGGCGGAAACTGTACACCATGGTCTTCCAGATGGGCGACTGATGGCTTTGTGTAGCTGATGCATGCTTTAATTTTTGCCTATAGCCCGGCAGCAAGGAAGTCGGGGTGGGAGGGACTTTTTTACCCTGCCAGTTATAGCATTATGATTTTTTCTGGGTACTGGCATTTTGTGAAACTCTCAAGGGAAGGTGATGCAGGGGAAAAAATGTGAATTAAATTACATAGATGGATGTTCTTCTACTCCTTTCCTAGAACTAGTACAGCTCTTAACTGTGCCAGTCCCCAGTTCACCAGCTTTGTATCCAGTTGTCATCTCATTCAAGTATGGCTTTACTTGGTGACACTGGCCATAGCTAAGTTACTTGGCATGTTTGACTTTTGACAATAACAAAAATGGTTTTAGATTTTGTTTTATTTCCAAAAAATGTATACAATGTCAGAACTTCACATTTTATATACTAGTATCTGGCTATTAGTATTTTACAGGAACCATAGTTCTTGGTGACTACATATATATATATATTTTTGTGACTTTTTGTAAACTAAGTGCCGTTTCAACGTTACAATCATTTTTAGAGTTATTGTAATCAATGTGAATATCATGTTTTTTCAAATCTGTTCTGAGCCTATAGTGTTTGCTTTGTGAACATAAGTGTATTGTATATATTCTGTATAGTTATATTGTACTGAAATATTAGCTTGTTTGATATAAGGAAAATATGTATTGAGTACCTTTTTGCTAGCCTGATTGTTTAATCTTTTTAAAAAAGGTTTAAACTTTTTTTAAAAAAAAATCTTTAAACTGGCCTTTATTACATGGTCACAAATAAAGTTGCAGTTAGGAAAGGGATGGGCAAGGGAAAACTAGTTTTGAGTGTCTTTAGATAGAAACATGAGACTAAGGTTTGGTTTTGTTTTTGTTTTCTCATTAAAATATCTTACGCTTTATGGAATAAAACTTCCTGCTGTTGTTAATTTGTTGTTTGCTGGATGGCTGAGGTCATGTGAGTGAGAAAAGGCATCAGAGTAATTCATTATTTAAATAATTATCTGCTTACAGTGTACAGAGTAGAGAGGATTACATTAGACAGCACATGTCAATTTTTGGTAAAGTAAGAAGCGTAAGTGCAAAGATCTCACAAACAACATATTCCACCTTGGAAGGAGAGTATAAAGGCAGCTAGTTAGAGGAACTCATCCAATCCTAGAGCTGTTGAATCAGGCTCTTGTATAAAGCTAGGTACTCGTGGGTGGGTTGCATCTTTCAAAGTTGCTCTGATTCTTTCTCAAGTCATATTTTATTGACTAGAGACCAATTGGTGCCATTTCAACGATATCTTACCGCCAGGGAGTAAAAAGTAGGTACCTAGTAGGGGAAAACAGCTCATTACATAGGTAATGAATCTATGAGATCCTGAGGAAGGAAAAGTTTTCTAACTTTAGATTCATTGATGTGGATTTTGACCATACTGGTCTTTAGAATGACAGTAACAGGCAAAGAAAATTATTTTATTCACCCCAAGCTAACTGGATCATTTTAGAATTAAGTTCAGAGAGGAAGAGGGTAAATTTTAAGAAGCATACTCTTTCATTCCAATGTGTTGAGCATTTTTAGCAATTTACCGAATCATTCAAGGTCAGAAAATGGGTTCTTCAGTAGCCTTGGCCACAGATGAAGCGTAAAAGTGCAGAAAGTAGAATTGGAAACAGATACATCCTTGCCAGCCATGGTGGCTCACACCTGTAATCCCAGCACTTTGGAAGACTGAAGGAGGAGGATCACTTGAGCCCAGGAGTTCAAGACCAGTCTGGACAACATAGGAAGACATCATCTGTACCCAAAAAACAAACAAAAAAAACCACTGGGCTTAGTGACTCACACCTGTAGTCCCAGCTACTCGAGTGGCTGAGGCGGGAGAATTGCCTGAACCTGGAAGGTCAAGACGGCAGTGAGCTGAGATTGCACCACTGCACTCCAGCCTGGTGACAGAGTGAGAACCTTTCAGTTTGCTTTGCATACTTGCATATAAATTATGTACCAGAAAGATTCCTTTCAGAGAATGATGGTAAAAGTAATGACCAACTGATAGAGCAGAAATTAGCAGCTGGCTGGGGCTTTTTCTTTTTTGAACAGGAATTTTGATTCTAAGAACTAAACAGAAAGTCAACAAAATCTGCAAACATACCAAAGGTTTAACGGGGGAGAACTTGCTTGTAACAACATCAAATCCCACAATTTAAT